ACTGCTCTATTTATGAGTTGCCCAAGGATGGATCTTACAACCTAACTCTAAAGCAAGGCTGCTCTGAAGCTTTAATTATTTGGGTAGGACTTATGACTTCTCTTAGAAAGTAGCCTGAAAAATGGGTCTTACAACTTAATCATTTTAGACTAAGATGCCTATAGGTTTAAATTTGATTGTTTGGGATTTAAGATCATTGCTATTTATTTAACAATTTTCTTAAGATGTGGGTCTTACGACTTTTACTTAAAAGTAGCTCGTTAATTTGTTTAGTTTGGGGCTTATGGCTCCAATTAGGAGTTGTCCGTTAATTTGTTTAGTTTGGAGCTTACGGCTCCAATTCAAAGTTGCCCGATAATTTATTTAGTTTGGGGCTTACGGCTCCAATTAGGAGTACTTACAGCCTCTTTTAGAGGTAGCCCGAAGAATTTCGGTTCGATAAGTCTTATGACTTTCTTAAAAGTTGTCTAACGGTGTGTCTTCTGACCTAACCTTGTAAGCTAAGCGGCCCGAAGGATGGGTCTTACAACCTAACCCTATAGGGCTAGGATGCCCGAGTTATGGGTTTAATTATTTAAAAATAGGGTCGTTCATTTAGAATTGAAGTTCCCTAATACACGGGTCTTGCTGCTTCTCTTAGAAGTAGCCCAAATGGCGGGTCTTATAACTTAGTCCTATTAGGCTAAGATGCCCAAATGAGGGGTCTAGAGTTGTATTATCACCTAAACACTTCCCTCAGATGTCGGACTTACGGCTTCTATTAGAAGTGGCCGTCGGAGTGAATTTAGGCTTAGATTCGACCGTGAGAGAAGAAGTCGAGTGAAGATTAGTGGCAGGATTGGGAGTTCGCATAGGGTAGAACGCTTGTTTGTGCTGGATTTAGCAGATGTGTGAGAGAAGACGGCTGCGTGCGAAGGGCGGTGACGGCTTCGCAACGGAATTGCAAAATAGGAGACGAATTTTACCTGCAAATAGGAGATTGGGTTCCCAATTGAAGGCAGACTCGTGATCAAAGGAGAGTTCGCAATCAAAGGCTGCGTAAACTTTGTCCGACGTTCAATTGTATTTGATCAACACGGAATCAGAGGGAAAGAAAAATGAATGTAAGCCCCATTTCAATTTTTGCTCTCCTTTTATTGATGACATCGTTGAATAACCGTTCTAAATCGAGGAACGATGTCGTTTGACGAAGTGGGGCTGGCTCGAGAGCGTGAAGAGATGCAACTCTTCAATTTTGAAATCTAATCTTTTGTTTTACAAAAGACTTCAGTTATTACCACTATTGGTCATAGTTTAAGAGGAGCCTGAAGCTGGGATTAAATTATTAAATAAATTATGCTCCATATTTATTTTCGATATGTGATTTTTTTTATTATTACAACTTCTGTCTTCTTTCTCGCTTTGAGTGGAGAGATTTTTATTGAGACCAAATTCGTAACAGTTAGGAAGATATATGATCTGCGTCCTCTTTAGCCAATATTGCCTTCTTAACTTGTTGTGTTGTATGCTTTATTCGGCAAGGAAAGAATGCTAGAAGGTTTGCTTTTGATTTTAATTGTTGGACTGCTGTGAATTGGAGCATCAAACAAGCTACTTTGAAGAAGATTTCATGCTAAAAATACTTTATTGACATTAAGCAATTCCCCTCAAATTTCTCCATGCAAATTTTCTTAATATACATGAACAGCTAGACTAAACAAAAGTACAAATAGCTGGAAGTTCCTTATTACAAATCTCTGCATTCAACTTACATGTACAATAAGCAATGAGCATTTGAATTCCTTCTTTCCAGAATCTATCATCCCATGAAATCATTAACATCTGTCAAAGGAGTATAAAAGTATATATTTTTGTTTTGAACATAGGTCCAACAATAAAAAACAAATGCAACATTTTCATATGAATAAGTTTCTTGAGTTCTCTTCTAGCAGCTAATATGACAATCTCTTTAACATTCTTGTCTAAAACTTTGATCTTATAATAATAAGATCCTTTGATTTAGCTTTAGATCGATATATTTGTTCTAAAGAATCATAAATATTTTTTTATTTTTGTTTGCCTTTCCATTTTGTTCAATTTCTTCTTCACCTTTTTTTAATATATATTTTATACTCTTTTTTATTCATATACTCATTCATCATTCATTTTTTATTAATCAACACAAAAGTGCATCACTTCCATCTGCATTGCAACAACTAGCTTTGAAATGAGCAAGGTATTGTTTGGGATTTCCCGTACCATCAAAATTCTTAAAGAAAGTTGGTACGAATCCTTCTGGATAAGGGACCAAGTCGCATTCTTTCGCGTAGGGCCTACCCTTCAAAATGGATGAGGTGTTATGGGCCTTAACCAGTGCTTCCTTTACCTGCTGTTAAACCATCTGTTTAATGTCTACTGACTACACTGATTGTGGTTCTGCCTTCACAGGTTTCTGTATCGGTTTCTCGGGTTCTTCTATACTGACTGCTTTATTCTTAGTATTCCACTGCATTGATTCATCGGGAGAAGACTTAACCTACACCTGTGGGGTAGGAGGATTATTAGCTTGCATGACGGAGATCATCGTCATCATCTCCTCTAACTTCTTCTCCATTCTCAGTAAATGTTCATCTTTTTTACTTAGTTGTTCCAACATACGATGAGTTGAATCTGATGTATCATCTTCATCATCCTCAGCATCAGCTGGTCCTGCTTCTTCTTTGCCTTTCTCCTTCTCTCTTTGTAGAGAAGAACAAGTATCAACCATGTTAATACTACTAGACATTTCCTGGTCCATATCTTCATCTTCTATAGCTTCCTTCTAATTGATCTGGCAGATACTCTCTTTAAGATGATCCACCACCTTTTCTATTGATTTGCCTCCCACATCATGTGGGTTCACCGGAGTATATTCTCTAGGAGGGGATAGTTCTATGACGAACTTCCCTTTCCTCGATCTTCCTCCGCTGCTTTCTTCTTTAGACACATCAATGCAGTTGGAGTAGGAGTCATCTTGGGCCGCCAAACCCTCTCTCTGTTAGATAACGAGGATGACTAACTTGGGAATTTCAGTCTCCTCTTATCAAAACCAGAAGATGATTCGCTACCCTGATGACGATGTTGATCAATCCTTGATGGATGTCGAACAGGAGGATTATCATAGATTCTGAGTGGACGATTTCCAGAGTGACGTGGCGAAGGAGGAGATATGGGATTATCCCTCGTCGGGCTAATGCTTCATACCCCAAGGATTTAATAGGAGTCAGCTGACTGTCATGATGATCTGAATTCTAATACTGATCAAGGTGCAGAAACTTCTTTGGTTCCCCACGACGATCTACTACAGCTGCTGGTCAACTTGGACCCGCTCCTTGAAACTGTACTCTCTTCCTTGTAGGAGGAGATTCTCCTCTCCTTCTACTTTATTGGGGATGCACTTCAGTAGAAATTACGTCCTTGACACTTTTTTCAAAAATTCTATCTTTGACTGCCCATAACCAATGGCACAATCCTGGATCAATCCATTCAGTAGAATCTTGAATTTTCTCTTCCTTTCAGAAAGAGAAGGGAGAACATGATCATTTCGGAAAGGAGTAGGTGGAGAATGTGCTATACACAGTACGTTCTCTTCCCCAGTAACAACAGACAATGAGTGAAATATGCTACCAGCTAATTGAGGGGATTAACATATTGCTCAGGAACTTCAGTAGTTGCATTTTTAGATGCCTCAATAGTGGCAACGATCAGAGAATTCTTCATTAATGTTTCAACTCTTTCAACCCTTCGCCACATACGACAAATCATGTTGTAACGTTGAGATTTAGTGATTTTTAGGATGGCAGAAGATGATCCCACTTCAAAGTTCCCAAAGACTGGGGATTCAGCAACAACTGGAGACTTTCCCTTAATCATAGCAGCTGACTGTGGATAAGTCAAACAAGTAAACATTGAAGGTTTGGCAGCTACGGGGGCAGATGCAAATCCGCCTTCCACGCTAACTTGAATAGGAGTTGATCTACCGGATTCAACAGGAGAAGTCACCACTTCAGGTTGTGGTGCACCAAAGGTGACTTGAAGTTTATGAAACTCAGATCCAAATCTAATATGGTTGCTCTCAGTAGATTGGGCAGCAGTGATGGTGATGTTGAAGACTAGCTTTTCGGACATTTTCTGCAATTCAAAGGTGATATGAATCATGTCATAATGGAGTAACCTAACCATTGCCTTGAACCCACTCTTTTTTCCACCATAATAGAAACCCCTTGCCATTCAAATCCTCTATGTCTTCCAACAAAGACATATTAACATGTAAAACCAGTAAATTGAAGACACGGCGGTAATCAAATCTATAAATGTATTGAAAATCTAACTTTAAAAAAAAAATCCCCATAAGCCAATAGTACTTCAATTCGCAACCAACCAAAGAAAGGGATCCACTCTGGTATTTTTGAATGGCCCTCCTTGGAAATATAAATTACACAGCTTAAAATAAAAATTATGACATTGGATTTTAAACAGGTATTACTCTTTATGTCTGAACATAAAGAGTATCCTCATAAGTCCTTCATCACATTTCCATTTTTAGGAACTTCGCATGGCTAACAATTACAATGTCTTCCTAAAGGATTTTTCATAGCTTTTAAAGCTTGTAATATAGCTATTCAATGAAAATAAAAAATAAAAAGCCCTTGATTCCAACTTCCAAGTGTACGCTTGCAAATTTTAAAAACCGCTAGATTGACTGTCAACGATGACAAATTACACTTTTTTATCTTTGCAATCAAGAGTGAAAAGCAAGCAACTTAGCTGTCCAGCCAAACAAAACGATTCAAAAAGGTTTCTTCCGCAATACCCGATAAGATTAAAAACATCAAACAAATAATATCAAATACGAAATCAATCGAAAGACATGTTAAATCAACAAAAAGTTGAGGTCACTGAATCCCAAAGTAAACCCGCAACCCCGCAAACCATCAGGAGAAATCAGCGAAAAGGGAAAGAAAGAGGCCGAAAGCGCATGCCTGATTGGGCTTCTGATTGTCCCTCGAACTCGAGAATAAAGGTCCCCATGAAAATGTAAACTCCTGATCATTCGTATCCAGGTCCAAAGAACTCTCATCTGAAATGTGTATCCTACAAGCGGAAACCATAAGAAATAACGTGAAACAACGACGAGAAGACAACCCTAACCGACCGCTTACATGGGACCGTGGCCGGCAATGTACTTCGACATCTCGAGAAGTTGCTCTATAACGCCTTGCAATCGAGAAAGTGCAAAGCTCTCAAGCAATTTATTCTCTGAGGAAGAAGGGAGGGCAAAAGACTAAGTTTTTACCTTCCACTTTACGAGGAAGGAAGCCATTACTCAAATTTATTGCCCGGGGAAGCATATCGGCCGGTTGAGAGGACGAAGCGCCAGAATTTTGTTGTGGCACGTGGACGGACTGGTCTGAAGAGGCGGCGTATTTGTATGTTGCCTCTTTTTTCTTGGACATTGACGTTGCCTGTCCTCAAAGAGTTCCGCAGTGGCTGCAGATTTTCAGTGAAGAATTGGGGCCGGACATCCTCAACAAATTCGTATTTAAAATTTTTAAATTAATTTTTAGAGAAATAAAATTATATATATATATATATATATATTCTCCAAATTTTTTTTTTTTTTGGACATTGACGTTGCCTGTCTTCAAAGCGTTCCGCGGTGGAAGCCATATTTTCAGTGAGGAATTGGGTCCAGACATCCTCAACAAATTTGTATTTAAAATTTTTTTAAATTAATTTTCAGGGAAATAAATATATTTTCTGAAATAAAGATTAGTAGAGACTAATTCAATTGCATAGATCAAAATATATAATTTAAGAAAATAAAAATTAATAAATGTCATATGAGTTGCCTTGAGGAGATGTTTTGCTATTTGTATTATTTTTTACCTTTGAGGAGGGAGGACGAGGACCAAGAAGTCCATCATTTTGGTGTTGCGTCAAAACTTTTGAGTTGGTGCTGATGATGTGCGCTGATTTTATAAGTGATATAGAGTGTCGATACTTTTGGCGATGACCGGTAATGAAGTCAATAGGCCTTAGTATTGCCCGATGATACTTGTTAATAGACTGTTATAGGGTGGCAATTATTAGGATATCATAGTCGTGAGATGACAGCAGTCAGAGGGTTGTAGTTTGGCGAAGGTGATCGAACGACCGTAATTGGGCAATAGTAGATAAATTATTATGGTTGAGTGATACCAGGCAAATAATTGTAGCTAGACAATTGTGATCAGAGAACTTAAGTCGGGCGATGATGGTATAGATAGTGTAGTTGAGTGACTGTGATATCGTATTTGGATGATAGTGATTGGATGATCATTGTCGAGTGATAGTTGTTAAATGATTATAGTTGACTATTGATGTTCTAGCAATAATAGTCGGGTGATGGTAGTCAGATGATCTAGATTCATAATCATCCGATAAAAGTTGGATGAATGTATTCAAATAATAATTGATTCTTCAAGCTTATGAGCTTTTTTAAGTCTCAAGTTAAATTCTCACTTATGCATATAGTACATTTTATTTATAGTTTTTAAAAAGTGGCATGCTCTGTTAAACAACTTGCACTAATTCCCTTAATTATATATCATTTATTTAGCAATGAAATACATAAATGATGTCAGAATTAAGCAATATTGTGCTTGCTAGATTTATTTCATCGAAATGCTCAAATTGTCTATAATCATGAACAATCGCAGATTGTTTGGTCATCCAATTAATGCCGCAAAATTTTTAATTATATTTTAAGTGTCTGATCTATGTTTGTTTGGAGTCCGATAAGATTAGTTTTTATGTTTAAGGTTTCATCCCATCAAGGCATTTAAATCAATCATAAGCTTGTTGAAATTAGAGTTTAAATGACCATGAAATTGATTTTGGAAGTTTCTAATTCAAACATGCATTAAGATTTGTGCCCAATCAAGTCAATTTTTTATGGCATATCAAGATTAATGATTATGAATTAATGATATCAATATTTCAATAGTAAGTTATTATATATTACTTATTAATCTATTTTTATTTTCATAAAAATAATTGAATCATAATTACTTAATTAGTATGCAGATAAAATAACAATATTACTAATTATTATTTTTAATGGAGTGCCATGAGAATATATTATATATGTAATTAAAATTATAGAAAAAATATGCATTTAAGGTTTTGTTTGGGACGGCTTTCTTACTACTTCTTAAAGCATCTTTTATGTATAAAAATTAATTTTTTTATACTAAAAAACTGATTTAAGAAACAGTAAGAAAGCCTTCCCAAACAAAACTTAAGGTTTCATTAGGGATAGTTTTTTTACTGCTTTTAAAAACAACTTTCGAGCACAAAAATTCAATTAAAGCGGTGAAAAAGTAATAGTAAAAAACTATCACAAACGAAGCCTAAGAGTTAAATAAAGAGAGATTAAGCTAACCTAACATAAACTCTAATTGATCATGATCATCAAAATAGTCCACATTGGTTCTTATTATCGAATTTTGCAATATGAATAAGTTCATCATCAAATTTAATTTAAATATTGCATTCACAAATTATTGTGCGCCTAAAAAAATTTAATAAATTAAGAATCCTATGAACATCATATTAATTTATAATAAAAACAATAGAAATATGATCGAGCATTATAATAATCAAATTTGTTATGCGGTATGAATAAATATTTAAATTTGTTATGCGGTATGAATAAAACTAAATTTAAATTTTGCATTATGGATTTAAAGAACTATTACAAATTAATGGCAAATATTTTAATATTTGTTTTAATTAATCTCATATATGCCCATATAGAATTTTTAAACAATATAAGATTGCAAGAATTGTCTTATTTTAAAATTAATAATACAATCCACATTAGGTATATAAGAATAATGATATGTTGTAATTTGTAAACAATAATAATTTCAAACATCTTTACTTGTTTGCTAAAGGAAAATGTTTAGACCCTGCTTTTTAGGGTAGGAGTTCATGTTGGGAAATTTTCATATGTGGGATAAAATATTTATACATATAAATAAATAATTATAGATTAGACGCTATCTAATGTTGAGTCAAATAAATTTGTGATCTATTTAAGAATTGAGTTATTATTTGACTTATGTGGCATCTCATTTAAATTTGTATGAAATTAATTATTTGTGTAGAGATTGAGTATTTATTTTTGTTTTAATGATGGATTAAAATAAAAATTGCACTTGATATTGATCATTTTTTAAATAATTTTTTTTAAAGAAAGATGATTGCTCATTATATATTAATTTCTTCTACAATTGATTTTTTTTTTAAGAAATTAAAAGTTAAAGTTGTGGACATTTTATGATTAGTTAAGTTATTTTAATCATTTTAAAAAAATTAATTAAGTGTTAGAAAAATTTTCAAAAAAATAAAATAAATTTTGGTTTACAATTGATGAATCAAGCCAATCAAACGAGCTCGAGTTTACTAATTTCCAAAAAAAAATTAAATTTAGGTTTACAATTGATGAATCAAGCCAATCAAATGAGCTCGAGTTTACTAATCGAGCTCGAGTTCGAGCCAATTGAGTGTTAAATGAGTCAGGCTTGATAAGGCAAATACTCGACTCGACTCGACTCAACTCGCTTACACCCCCTACCTTAGCCAGTGCTTCCTTTATCTGCTGTTCAACCATATGCTTAATGTCTACTGACTGCACTGATTGTGGTTCTGCCTTCACAGGTTTCTGTATCGATTTCTCGGGTTATTATATCCTGACTGTTTTATTCTTAGTATTCCACTGCACTGATTCATCGGGAGAAGACTTAACCTACACCTGTGGGGTAGGAGGATTATTAGCTTGCATGACGGAGATCATCGTCATCATCTCCTCTAACTTCTTCTCCATTCTCAGTAATTGTTCATCTTTTTTACTTAGTTGTTCCAACAGACGATGAGCTGAATCTGATGTAACATCTTCATCATCCTCAGCATCAGCTGATCCTGCTTCTTCTTTGCCTTTCTCCTCTCTTTGTAGAGAAGAACAAGTATCAACCATGTTAATACTACTAGACATTTCCTGATCCATATCTTCATCTTCTACAGCTTCCTTCTCATTGATCTGGCGGATATTCTCTTTAAGATGATCCACCGTCTTTTCTATTGATATGCCTCCCACATCATGTGGGTTCACCGAAGTATATTCTCTAGGAGGGGATAGTTCTATAACGAACTTCCCTTTCCTCGATCTTTCCTCCGCTTCTTTCTTCTTTAGACTCATCAATGCAGTTGGAGTAGGAGTCATCTTGGGCCGCCAAACCCTCAATCTGTTAGATAACAAGGATGACTGACTTGGGAATTGCAGTCTCCTCTTATCAAAACTAGAAGATGATTCGCTACCCTGATGACGATGTTGATCAATCCTTGATGGATGTTGAACAGGAGGATTATCATAGATTATGAGTGGACGATTTCCAGAGTGACGTGGAGAAGGAGGAGATATGGAATTATACTCTCGTCGGGCTAATGCTCCATACCCCAAGGATCTAATGGGAGTCAGCTGACTGTCTTGATGATCTGAATTATGATACTGATCACGATGCAGAAACTTCTTTGGTTCCCCACGACGATCTACTACAGCTGCTGGTCGACTTGGACCAGCTCCTTGAAACTGTACTCTCTTCTTTATAGGAGGAGATTCTCCTCTCCTTCCACTTGATTGGGGATGCACTTCAGTAGAAATTACGTCCTTGACACTTTAAAAAAATTATTTCTTTGACTTGCCATAACCAATGGCACAATCCTGCATCAATCCATTCAGTAAAGTCTTGAATTTTCTCTTCCTTTTAGAAAGACAAGGGAGAGCATGATCATTTCGGAACGAAGTAGGTGGAGAATGTGCTATATGCAGTACGTTCTCTTCCCCAGCAGCAGCAGACAATGGGTGAAATATGCTACCAGCTAATTGAGGGGAATTAACATATTGCTCAGGAACTTCAGTAGTTGCATTATTAGATGACTCAGTCGTGGAAACGATCAGAGAATTCTTCATTAATGTTTCAGCTCTTTCAACCCTTCGCCTCATACGACGAATCATGTTGTGACGTTGAGATTTAGTGATTTCTGGGATGGCAAAGGATGATCCCACTTCAAAGTTCCCAGAGACTGGGGATTCCAACAACTGGAGACTTTTCCTTAGCCATAGCAGCTGACTGTGGATAAGTCAAACGAGTAAATATTGAGGGTTTGGCAGCTGCAGACCCGCCTTCCACGTTAACTTGAATAGGAGTTGATTTATCGGATTCAACAGGAGGTGCCACCACTTCAGGTTGTGGTGCACCAAAGGTGGCTTGAAGCTTATCAAACTCAGATCCAAATCTAATCTGGTTGCTCTCAGCAGATTGGGCAGCAGTGATGTTGATGTTGAAGACTAGCTTTCCAGACATTTTCTGCAATTCAAATGTGATATGAATCATGTCATAATGGAGTAACCTAACCATTGCCTTGAACCCACTCTTTTTTTCCACCATTGCCATTCAAATCCTCTATGCCTTCCAACAAAAACATATTAACATGTAAAACCAGTAAATTGAAGACACAGCAGTAATCAAATCTATAAATGTATTGAAAATCTAACTTAAAAAAAAAATCCCCATAAGCCAATAGTACTTCAATTCGCAACCAACCAAAGAAAGGGATCCACTCTGGTATATTTGAATGGCCCTCCTTGGAAATATAAATTACACAGTTTAAAATAGAAATTATGACATTGGATTTTAAACATGTATTACTCTTTATGTCTGAACATAAAGAGTATCCTGATAAGTCCATCGCATTTCCATTTTTAGGAACTTCGCATGGCTAACGATTAAAATGTCTTGCAAATTTTAAAAACAGCTAGATTGACTGTCAACAATGACAAATTACACTTTTTTATCTTTGCAATTAGGAGTGAAAAGCAAGCGACTTAGCTGTCCAGCCAAACAAAACGATTCAAAGGTTTCTTCAACAATACCCGATCGATTAAAAACATCAAACAAATAACATCAAATATGAAATCAATCGAAAGACATATGTTAAATCAACAAAAAGTTGAGGTCACTGAATCCCAAAGTAAACCCGCAAACCATCAGGAGAAATCAGCGAAAAGGAAAAGAAAGAGGCCGAAAGCGCATGCCTGATTGGGCTTCTGATAATCCCTCGAACTCGAGAATAAAGGTCCCCATGAAAATGTAAACTCCTGATCATTCGTATCCAGGTCCACAGAACTCTCATCTGAAATATGTATCCTGCAAGCGGAAACCATAAGAAACAACGTGAAACAACGACGAGAAGAAAACCCTAACCGACCGCTTACGTGGGACCGTGGCCGGCACCGTACTTCGACATCTCGGGATGTTGCTCTATAACGCCTTGAAATCGAGAAAGCGCAAAGCTCTCAAGCAATTTATTCTCGAGGAAGAAGGGAGGGCAAAAGACAAGTTTTCACCTTCCCCTTTAAGAAGAAGGAAGCCATTGCTCAAATTTATAGCCCGGGGAAGCATATCGGCCGGTTGAGAGGACGAAGCGCCAGAATTTTGTTGTCGCACGTGGACGGACTGGTCTGAAGAGGCGGCGTATTTGTATGTTGCCTCTTTTTCCTTGGACATTGACGTTGCCTGTCCTCAAAGAGTTCCGCAGTGGCTGCAGATTTTGAGTGAAGAATTGGGGCCGGACATCCTCAACAAATTCGTATTTAAAATTTTTAAATTAATTTTTAGAGAAATAAAATTATATATATATATATATATATATTCTCCAAATTTGATTGTGGCTATCTTGAGGTGCTGCCACTACATTTTTTTTTTTTTTTCATGTTTTTCATGTAAATTCATGTGTTCTTTCTCTGCTATTTTTATCTTATTTGTTTTGAATTGTTTGCTCTAACAATTGGCAAATCCTCAAGGGTGAGAGCATTAAGACAGTTTGAACAAGCGAGTTCCCCAGCTGAATGGCGAGTCTCTATGAAAGGGTGATAAGTCTCCTTGCTGAATATAGCTATGAACAAGTTACAAATCGTGTTTAACAATGTCCTAACCATTGGCTTGGTTGGTGTATGCTTCTGTAGCTAAGACTAGGATATTCACTAAAGGAAGATAGTTTTAACTAAGGCAAACTACTAAAAATGCTAAGTTCTCCTATGTTAAGAAGCAGTAAGAAAGTTGTCCCAAAGGTTTCGTTAGGGATGATTTTTTTATTGCTTTTAAAAGCAACTTTCTAGCTCATAAATTCAATAAAAATAGTGAAAAAATAATAGTAAAAAACTGTCCCATGCAAAACCTAAGAGTAAAATAAAATGAGATTAAGCTAACCTAAAATAAACTTTAATTGATAATGATCATCAAAATAGTCCACATTGGTTCTTATTTTCAAATTTTGCAATATGAATAAGTTCATCATCAATTTGAATTAAAATATTGCTTTCACAAATTATTGTGCACCACAACAAATTTAATAAATTAAGAATCCAATGAACATCATATTAATTTATAATAAAAATCAATTGAAATTTGATCGAGTATTGTAACAATCAAGTTTATTATGTGGTATGAATACATTTTTATTTTAAAAAATTATATATTTTTTTAAATTATAGATTAAAAGAACTATTACAAATTATTGGCACATCTTTTAATATTTATTTTAGTTAATCTCACATATGAGCACATAGAATTTTTAAACGATATAAGATTGCAACAATTGTTTTTTTATATATAAATAAATAATACAACCCATAATCACTATAGGAAAACCCGCTATTACTGGCGGATATACACGTCGATAACATGTAAAATCCGACGGAAGTCCTAGGTTTCCGGCGCATTTACGGAGGATTTTTGTGCGCCGGTTTGGCTCGCGTTGGAAAATACCTTCCGACGTTTATAAGACGTCTGAAAACTTTATGGCGCCATCTCCGGCGCATTACCGGCGCAAAAAATGCTTGTCAAGCAGGCGTTTTTCAAACATTTATTTCGACGATATGTGCGCCAAAAGTTTACGACGTATCTATACGACGGAAATTACTGACGCATTAGACGTCGGAACCAGTAAAATGCTGGTATATTCCGACATTTTTACCGGCGCATTAAACGTAGGAACGCGTCAGGCGGAACATGCACCCGAAAAAACGCCATAAGCTTTCCTTCGCACTATGCGTCGTTACAGGCGCCGTATTTACCGACGCAAATTATTCCGTAGGAAAATCCGACGGTAATCGCGTATTTTCCCGTAGTGAATATGTATAGAAGAATAATGATATGTTGGAAACAATAATAATTTTAACCATCTTTACTTATTTGCTAAAGGGAAATGCTTAAACCCTTCTTGCTTTTTGTGGTAGAAGCTCATTCTTCATGAATAAATTCAAATATATTTAACCAGATTCTCATTGAAATTTATATTAGGGTTTATTTAGTCCTCGGATCTAAATTTTCTATGGGCGTAAATCCCTATAGTTAATTACCTTGCCTAATCATGCGAGAACCCTCTTCATTAAGGATGATTACTTATGCTTATTTTTAGCCTTTAACTTAATATTCAAATTTTACTTGAATCAATGTGGGAAATTTGACGGGTACTGAGGTAGATCTAATCAAAATCTTATGATTCCATCATCTTGGGAATACGAACAGTTTCAATCTATCAATGTTAGAGGTCGATTATATAACATGACTGCTGCATTCTCTCCTCCTTAGAGGGGAGGACGTGCACCCGGGCTGTCCGCCGAACAACTGGACGTCCAATGACATGAAGATAATCTAAGTAAACTAACATAAATGTACATGATTTTTTATTTGTTAGACATTGCTAGTGTAGAAGTTTTCCCTAATATGATTTAAGTTGGGTGAGCTTGATGATTTTGCACCAACCCAATAAAGTGAGACTTACATTTGTTCGAATGCCCTGATTTAATTAGGATGGGGCTTAATATTCTCTTTATGAGTTGCTTGAAAGGTTGGGTTTTATGACCTTACCCTGAATGCTAGGTAGTTCAAAAAGGTTTGGTTTGGCGAGCTTGATGCCTTTTTTGATTGCCTCATGCAATGATAAACGGGGCTTATATCCATTGGAATGCTCGAAATTTAATTGGACTAGGGCTTACATCCATTGGCATGCCCAAATTTAATTGGGATGAGGCTTATTGTTTCATTTATGAGTCACCCAGAAGGTTGATTCTTATAAGCTTAGCCTTAAGCAATATGACTTGAATATAGTTTAAATTTGATGGGTTTGATGGCTTTTGCACTGGCCCGAGCGGATGTGACTAAGACTTCGTTTGGGACGACTTTTTTATTGCTTTCTAAAACTCCGTTTTAGTACAAAATTAAAAAATTTTGTATTAAAACTCTGTTTTAGAAAGCAATAAAAAAGCCGTCACAAACGAAGTCTAAGTGGGTCTTACATCCAAGAATGCCCAAAATTGACTTGCTTTGCGTGGTTTTTTTTAATATGAATTTTAATATCTTTAAATTATTTGAGAAAAATTGGATGAGTTATTACTTATAGACAAAAATACATACACATTCTATTGCTAATATTTGTGTCCTAAATTTATTATGGCTTTTAACACAGCTCTTACGACCTTGCTTCAAGAACAAGGTAGATTGAAGACAACATCTCACTAGGATTCTCAGATCTATGAAGAGCTAGCAAGCTTGAGCTCGAGTCCTTAGTTGGTAAGCTTGATTAACCGAGTCGACATTATATACCTCCCCCCTACTGCACTATCATCATTTTGCATTTGAACCAAACTATTTTTTTTTTCTTATCTTTTAGCCCCAATGATGTACAATAGGCTTCCATGTGTTGATAGTGCAGTAGGGGGGAAGCTCAAAGTTTAAGTAATGTTATTGATTGATTATACTCAATGATATTGTTGCGTTCTAGAGTATTTGTGACGGTAGACAAATATAAAATTTAACATCTTAACTTTGTATGAAGAACTGGCACGCAATCAAATAAGAGAGGGAAAAGATAAACCTTTTTTTACATCAAGGCCAAATAAGGCAAACACACACGCATCACATACGCAAGCTTCAAACACAAGACCTCTTGGTTGGTAGAGAAAGCTCGCAACCAACAGATCAAGGTGAGTTGCATAGATAAACCAAGTTTGGCTTCGAGAGGAGATCATTTATTTATTATTATTATTATTATTTTAAATTGGAAAAGTGGTGAATAATACACAAGATCTGAACATTGATGTAAGAACATTGTCATTCTTAGTTTTGTTAAGTATGTAAAATAATTTATAATTGTGATTCCTAAAAATAAGTTAAGGGCTATTTAGTTTGAAGTGAAATTGTATAAATTATTTCAAATGTACGAGTTCTAAAAATATTGATATTTAGCATGAAGTGAAAAACTCAGACTAAAACTTTGTTGTATTTGATAGTTGTTAAATTTGATCAATTTTAAATATATTATTAATTATTTGTTATTGTTGGCCATCTGCCACCATCATTGTTAGATTTTACATTGCATTCATTTCACCACAAGCCAAACAAAATCAAATAATTACTTGAATTTATCTTAGATTTACTCAAACAACTTCAAACATTTCAAATACAATGTTTTCCTTAAATAATGAAACATTTACACATACTCTAATGAAGGTCCTAAATTCATTCAAAAATTCATAAAATCATCAACACCACATGGAAGCCTATTGTACATCATTGGGGCTAAAAGATAAGAAAATAAATTAGTTTGGTTCAAATGCAAAATGATGATAGTGCAGTAGGGGGGAGGTATATAGATGCAGTATAACATAAGCGTAGTTAATTTGATGTGAAAGGTCGTAACAGGTTACTCGGGGCCAAGCGCCCATCTCCTTCATGATAATTTTTTTATTTTAATAATGTAATTGTATTTCGATGAGAGGATTGTTTCAATTTAATATCAAAGTTTAAGTAATGTTATTGATTGATTATACTCAATGATATTGTTGCGTTCTGGAGTATTTGTGATGGTAGACAAATATAAAATGTAACATCTTAACTTTGTATGAAGAACCGGCACGCAATCAAATAAGAGAGAGGGTGTTGCATTCATATGACACATCAGGATTTTTACTTGGAAAACTCTTAAAAAGGGGAAAAAATCACAGGGCTTAAACTTAGTTTGAAGTAATACACTATTATTTGCAGTCGATTACAAATGAGACCCTTCCTTAGGGGGAAGGCCTTGGCTTGATGTACATTATATGAAGTACATGATGAGAATGTAAAGAGTCACTATTAACGTGTTCGTTTGGTCGAAAGGACCGTAGTCGATGGGTGACGTAAGTCGGAAGGATCGTAGTAGGCAGACGACGTAGGTCAAACTGTTGTCTGACGTCGGAGGTCAAAAAGATGACGTCAGGTAAAAGTCCAATAATGGACATAAATCCAGTATCAAATAGATGTCCGGCGAAAGTCTGACAACTGGAAGAAGTTCGGTGTCAGGTAGAAATCTGGTGATGAGTGGAGGTCTGACATCGGGTAGAAGTTCTACGTTAGTCAGCGGTTAGGGAGAACTCCGGTGTTAGATGATATTCATGCAAAACTCCAGAGTTACTTGGAGATCAGACATAATTTCGGTGTCACTTAGAGATCGGGCTGAGTTTTTGCATTACTTGAAAGTTGGGCGGAACTCCGGCTTCACTTGAAAGTCGGGCGGAACTCTGGCGTCACTTGAAAGTCCGACGTAACTACGGCATCACTTGAAAGTCGGGGGGAACTACGACGATGGTCGAGGAAGAGTTTATTCCCTCCTCTTCTTCTCTTCTTTTTTCTTTCATGGATCCCCTCTTAAGAGAAATGAGGGGTTATTTATAGTTTTCTGAGAGTGACATGAACTGTAAATAGGAGGAGGATTAAGGGTAAATGGGGAGTGGATTGGATGGACAGTCGATATTGAATCCCTTGATCGTGGATCGTTCGTCAGACATTTGAAGGTCTGAATGATATTGGAATTCAACGATCTTGGGCTCGTTGGATTTGTCTCGTCGAGCCGCTCAATTCAACTATAAGCATGTCATGTTTGGAAACCGTTTGGTAATCAAAATTGTGGTTTGAACCTTCCAACAGCAGTTTGGGTCTTCGATTGAGACACATTTGGGCTCGGATTGAGTTGAATTTGGTGTGGTTGGGTTCATATTTATGAGACGCTCAGTTCGACTATAAGTTTGCTGAAATAGGAGTTCAGATGATTCCATATTTAATTTTTTAAACTTTTGACCTGATCTTTCCTCGAGATTTGTGCCCGATCAAGATAAATTTTTTGATGATATATCAGATACAATACTTGGTATTCTAATGATATATTGCTTATGTTAAACTCTTAAAGATCCAAATAGTTGATTGATATGGTTCGAAGTTCGAACTCATGATGAGAACATTATTTGAACCATAAGCTCACAGTAATTCAAAGTTAGTTGTAACAAAGCTCAAACTTGAATACAAATTAATTAGACCATAAATTAGTTCAAATGGAGAAGAGTTTGAGAGAAATTATTTTGGGCGATCCCTGGATTATCTGGAGCCGAATTAGGATGCGCTACATCGCCCGATACACAACATTACACGATATTGATATACACCAAAAAAAATGATGTGACACATTCTCATTCCCATCCAGACACCATTCGGACCGCACATAATAATGTCTCTTAGTTTGAACTAGGGGTGTAACCGATTCAAGCCGACTCGCGAGCCGGCTCGGACTGGACTCCGTAACAGGCTCAACGAGCCGAGCTTGAACAAAGGTTCGAGCTACAAGGATTATTGAGCTCGAGCTTGAACATGTCTCAAACTCGACTCGTCGGCTCGACGAGCAGCTTGACTGGCGGGAATGAGCTGGTGATGGAGGAAGGTGCTCAGGACGATGACAGACGTGTCTTCAGGACGACGATGACGGAGCTCAACAATGGACACTAAACGTGACGACAAACTCAGGTGGACAGATCTCAACAGTCGAGCTTGAGACGATGACGAACGAGCTCGGGATGACGACAACGGTGGAGCTCGAATCTTGACGGTGAAGCTCGGAAAGAACACGATGATGACAAGCTCGGACGGACGAATCTCGACGGTGGTGCTAGGGACTACAACGAACGAACTCAGGATGACAAGAATGGCCGAGCTCGAATCTAGACAGCGGAGCTCGGAACGAACGCGGCTAAGGACGGACCTCATGATGACATCGTACACGACGACGAAACTCGGCATGAGTTGCTCAATTTTGAGCTCGGATTGAGCACGACTCGATATGAGACGAGTCGAGCTTGAGCTTGGATTTTGAGCTCGAATTGAGTTCGAGCTCTAGCTCGAACTCGGTATTTGACAGTCGAGCTCGACGCAAATAACCCCTAGTTCGAACTCAGACTTAACTCCTTTGCACCCCTAATTCGAACAATTTTAGTTCACAACATACTTTAGTCCGAGAGTATAAAACGGAAGAAGTTGGTTCGGTACCTGATAATTTTTGCTAGCGCAAATTGGACAGTAAAAGGATAATCCCCTTCCTCGACTCGCCGGAACCGGCTCCTTGTATCATCAGGTGCAATGGCGCTCAAATCTACCACGCCCTTCCCCCTCTTCCCGCCAAGTTTCTCCATTCCGCACCGCCGTCACGCCGCCCTCACAGAAATACGTTTCTCTCGATGGAACAACGCCAATGCCGAACCCTTTCTTCGTCGCCAACGCCAGCAAAAACAGATCGAAGACGACATACGCCGGCACCGCCGCTTCCAATCTGCAACCAAAATTGCCGACCCTTCTGAGTCAGACAAAACCACCACCTCCTTCTCGTCGTCTCCACCTCCCGAGTACAAGTCCCTCGGTACCCCTTCCTCTCCTTCATCCCCTTCTATCCGAGGCAAAGCCTCCAAATACTCCAAACCGGAAAACCCTACTTCTTCCCACCCCGCCTTCCGCCGAATCGCCCGATCTCCTCGTAAAACTCGTGTTCCGCAGGAAGAGCCCAACAGGGAGATGGGGATCTCCGTTTCGGACATGGGAATTGCTTACAAGCTCAAGAATGCGCCCTTCGAGTTCCAGTACAGTTATACTGAGACACCAAAGGTGAAGCCTTTGGCTTTGCGGGAACCACCGTTTTTGCCTTTTGGGCCGACGACGATGCCAAGGCCGTGGACAGGGCGGGCGCCGCTGCCTGCTAGCAAGAAGAAGTTGCCGGAGTTTGATTCGTTTAGGTTGCCTCCTCCAGGGAAGAAAGGGGTGAAGACAGTTCAAGCACCAGGGCCCTATCTGGCTGGGTCAGGGCCGAAGTATATGGCAGCAACGAGGGAAGAGATACTTGGTGAGCCGCTGATGAAGGAGGAGGTTAAGGAGCTTATAAAGAGTTGTTTGAAGAGCAAGAGACAACTTAATATGGGTTAGTGTTGCTGCAACTGATTGTCATTGTTTCTTCAATTATAAGTAGACTTCTTTCGCCATCTTCACACCTTAGATCAATTCTACTTAATTTCTGTTTAATATAACTATATGCTTGGAAATCAGATGAGTATATATTGTATGCTCGCTGATTCAGGATGTAGCTCTTTTTATTTTTGTTCTAAAACTAGTTGTTGATTTATTCCTTCAGTTTACTTTAGTGAAACTAGTTGATGTGCCAAAATATTGTCCGGACTCTGAGCATATTTCTAGATGCGTTTTTCATCGAATTATTTACAGTAGATTGGATGCATCCAATATCAAGATTGCTGGTGAAAAAAATACACTTCCAATTGATATGCTATATCATCGCACCATGTAAGAGAAGTTAACAAAGAATATTATTGCTTCCATAGTAAAAATTTATTTATTAATTATGATTTTTTTTAATCCAAGGCTAACCAAATGAGTAAGAAGATTGACCATACTGCATAGGAACTAAATTATACTTTCTCTGATACTGCACAAAACAAATTGCTGATTTTTAAACACGTCATATGATTTATGATCTATAATTTTTCAAAAAAATTTCAGGAAAAAAATCTTCTATTTCAGGAGCAAAAAATATGGAATTAGAATTTGGATGCAACATTTTTCCCACTGATGCAATCAAGGACTGGTTTTTTTGAATAATTGTCCCAAGGGTTTATGATTTGGGCTTCAAAGTGTGTTTGTTTGATTGAATTTGGGCATCAACAAGCTTGACTATGGTCGAATTTGTTTTGGCTTGAAAGAGAAGTCATAAATTAGGGGAAAAATAACAACTACATTTTGATTATATATTGGCACAAGTGTGGGAGATGGATTTCTGGAGTCCTAAGCAAGAAGAAAGAAAAATAAAATAAAATTTTATTTCAAATGAACAAAGATGATGAAACACAATAAATTTCCCAATTTACAATGAATTTCACATGCTAATAGAGGATAAAAACAAAAAAAAAATAAAAAAATAATGGGTAACAGGAATAAGTATCAATAATAAAATAGTCTAAATAATTCATTGAAACTACTTATTATGAGACTAATAGTTAGCCGTGTCATACATCAATCCCCTCCACCGGAAGAAAAGTTGCCTTGAGTTTTGCCACTTCAAAGATAATTCATTTGGAGGGAAATACTCAAGGATATCAACAACTGAAAGTATTAGAGATGTTCAATCTTGTAAGCGTTGCACCAATTTTTTGTAACATGGGAATATGACCAATCTTCTTAACTTTGAGCATGCTATATGTGCCAAAGGTAAAAATTATTTTTCAGATGTACAATCACTGTACACCTCTGTAAATAATTTGAGGTGCCATTGTTGATCTACAACCATCTTGTAACGTTAATTAGCATCTTCAAGATATTTCTTCACCTCTTGATGAATCTGTTAAACATGCACAATAAAATTCTCAGAGTTAGGATTGATGTTGGGAAAGGTAGGTAGAAGAAACACGTTCATTATATATTCCTTGGAACACTATTGTAGACAACTTCAAAGGGAGTCTTCTTTGTAGAATGTTCAGCATATTTTTGAAAGAAAACTCTATTTGTGTAACGTTTCATTGATTTATTTTATCACCACATAGATTGAATCATATTGTCAAAAGTGTGATGAGCCACCTCCATTTGTACCTTTGTCTTTGGATGACTTGAACTGCTAACTATATACTTCAAAGAGGTATCAGACAACTTTAATAGCATCTATCAAAAAGAGTTTAGTAACTTAACATCCTGGTTTGAACTTTGAAGTAACTGAATGAGGTGCTGCATGCAAGTAGACAATATTTTGACAGAATAGATGAGCCATGTGGGAAGCGTTCATAGCCTTTTTACATGGAATGAAGTGTATCATCTTTGAAAATTGATAGACCACAATGTAATTTAATTTATAACTCTTTAAATTCGAGGAATATTAAGAACAAAATTCATAGTCAAGTCTTGCCAAATTATTTCTAGAAACATGTGTTTGAGATTTACCCTTAGCCCTTTTGCATACTGGACAATGTTGAACAAAACACTCAACATCCATTTTGAGTTGAGGCTTATAAACTATATCCTCTACCTAATTGATGGTCTTTTCACGACGAAAATGTCCACGCAATCCTTCAATATGCAATTCTCTAATCAGGTGTTCACACAAAGTGTTTTGAGGAATACAAAATTGTGTATCTTTAAATAAAGAGTAAATGACAAAAATGATCCCCGATTACATTAAAATACTATTTTGCTCCCTTCAATCTTTAAAGAGGGACCTAAATTATCAAACCATCCAAACTAAATTGATGTTGGAGTTAACAATGTTAAAATTAGGGGTAGTTTTAGATTTTTTTAATTAAATTATTTAGTGAATGTAATTTTTAAGTAATTATTATTTTTGTCTCCAATTTATATTTTCATATATAAGCGAGTTTGGATTGAGCTCGTTTACTGTTATGATGAATTTTTTAAAGATGGTGAATTTGTCCTCATCCAAGATATTTTAATTGATTTATGTAAAGAGAAGAGCATTGTTTTTTTGTTTAATTATCTTCGTTACAGTTTTGTCAGATTGTACAATCTTTGTTACATTTTTGTCAGATTGTACAATCTTGGTTTGTTGTTAAGTGTTTATGTCTAAGTGATGAGGAGATCGGCAAAAGATTTCAACGCACCTACCATCGGATGAATCATGAATCATAGATCGACGACTATCTATTTATGATGATTTATTGTATTTTCGTTTATTTATATTTCAATTTTTCCATTTGTACCCCTATGAGGGATTTCTTTGTGTTGTAGCCCCGATGGCATTTGAGTCATTTATTTTCTTTATCTTAGAGGCCTATATATTAAGGCTTGAACCATTGTATTAGGGGATGATATTTTGAATGAAAAATTCCAGCTTTGTATTCTTGATCTCTTTGTGAGTTCTTGAGGGAAAGGAATCCTAGGAGGGTCAAGCATCACACGTCAGTCACCGGTAGAGGCCGGGGCTCGCGGTTAGTATTTTGTGATTTTCATCTTTCCCCTTCCCTTTGCTCCCACTGCCGACCACCTCTTCCACTACCACCCAAACCCGCCGGATTCCCCTCCCCCTCACCTATTTCCAACGACTTCCCCTCCTTACCCCTAAGCCGCCGGCCCAATTCCTCCACAATCCCCTTGATTTCAAATTTCAATTGCATCTCAATACCTTCCTAATTTATCATATTATTAATATGGAGAGTTTACTAATTTGAATTCAAATTAATTTGAATTTCAAATACTCCCCTAATTAATAAAACTATTTTAGGAAACCTTCCCCAAGTGATGCAAATCTGAAATTAATTCAAATTTGAAGTCATCAATCAATATTCAATGTAAAGATCCACATACGTTGAATGTGGACGCTTTCCTCTTCCCTCCATTGGTCGCCCCCCCTTCCCCCCTTTCTCTAGTTATTTCGTTCCCTAATTAGGCCCTAAGATTAGGGGATATTAATTACCTCTTCCCTCTATTCCTTTTTGTTTGAAATTTCAAATATTTCCCCATTCAAATCCCACCAAAATTTTGAGATCGATTTCAGATTTTGAACTTATCTTCCCCACCAACTACCCCTAACCCTATTCTCCCTTAGACGGTGACCCAGAGAGGGATTTTCCGCCATCATAACACTGCTGTCCGACCTCTGCTACTCCACGAACTGCTGTCCAGAAAACTCAGCAAATCCCCTTGCTATCCCAACGTCTAGAGTTTTCCTTTTTGATGTCCAGAGGACTCCCACTACCCGCCTTCTCCTTAGATCTGAGAATTCAGCCAGCTTACCCCACTGATTTACTGATCGAGTGGGTTTCCCTTGCTGCCTAAGAGAATTCCAGCAATTTTCCTTGCTGTCCAACAATCCGGAAGCTTCCGTTTGCTGTCCAGGAGTCTTCACACAGCTGCCGGCTTCTTCATATTCGAGTAAACTTTCTATTGATCAAAAACCTTAAGCGTCTATTGTCTTTTAGTGGCATCCTTGTTATTGTGTAGATTGTAAACTTTCTATTGATCAAAAACCTTAAGCGTCTATTGTCTTTTAGTGGCATCCTTGTTATTGTGTAGATTGTAAACTTTCTATTGATCAAAAACCTTAAGCGTCTATTGTCTTTTAGTGGCATCCTTGTTATTGTGTAGATTGTAAACTTTCTATTGATCAAAAACCTTAAGCGTCTATTGTCTTTTAGTGGCATCCTTGTTATTGTGTAGATTGTAAACTTTCTATTGATCAAAAACCTTAAGCGTCTATTGTCTTTTAGTGGCATCCTTGTTATTGTGTAGATTGTTCTCCTGCTAAAACCTAGTTCAGAGAGTGTGTGAGGGAAATTTGAAGATAAATTTATAATTGTTAGACGAGGGATTTTTGTTATTTGCATATTTAGTTTTACTATCATTTTGTTGCTATTTTGAATTGTCTCGTTAATCCAAATTGTAATCGCATGCCAAATCAAATTAATAACTACGAAAACTGAAAATCTAATCCTAAGTGAAACATTAACTTATAATTGAATCGCTTAAACAACTCTCTTATTAAACTCCCACAATTCCTGTCGATTGTTTCACATCACTGTGTGATGTTGCTATAAGCTTTTAAAAGATGTGGCTTTATTTGATGGCTTTCTAATTTGGTTATATATATATATATATATATACATGCATGTATTAATTTTCTTATCTATTTTATCAAAAGCAAACATTGACCACCATCTAGTTCCATCTGACCATCTTTGTCTGGCTCCTCTATCATGTCTAATAGGCAAATACATTGTTGGTTTTTTGCTAATCTTTTGCAAACAAAGCGGCGGTCCAAGAGAATTCTTTACAAGGAGAAGCATTCTGAAGCTCACATAACGCTAGAGCCTTGTCCCATCGTGAAGCTCAAGTCTCTTTAAATACATCATATTTTGGGCTTTTTTGGCTACCAAAAAACCTTCCAGCCACAAGAGAGCTATAAATTGGAATCAAATACCAAGAACCAAGAGTTTCTGTGGAACTGTGGAACTATTTTGTTAGGTGAAATACCAGAAGAAGTTGAGGATTTTATTTTAACCTTATTGGTTTCTCTTTCTTATCTTACTTGCATATTTCTTCTCATGTTTCCTCCCTTTGAAGTATCCCCACAATCTAATTTACGTAACTTCTGAATGTTGAAATCTCACCGTCAACACTCATAGGATCATTGATGTAACATTTAGCTATCAATCTCAAGAACTCACTCAAGGGTTAAGTTTAGATTTCTTATTCTGTTGGGATCTTAGGATTCTTATAACTGCATACTACGTTGATGATTGATGGCTTTGGAGTGCTGTTTTCTAACCTTTTTTTTTTCTTTTAATAAATCATTTTCAATTATTAAATGTGGTGATTTATTAGTAAACCTTTGATCTTAGGCTTTTGCTTGTCTGAATTTGGGATGCCAGTGCTTTCCGTACATTTGTAGTGAAATTAGTAGACATTGATTGGAGTATTGTGTGAGCAAACGTGCCCATACACATATGGTGCAGTGTTGTTCTGTGCACGAGTGAAACTTTAATGTTAAATAAGATCCTATTAGCTTATTAGAAGTCTGTTTTTATCTTAATAACCAGTAATTGTGTGACAAATAATTACTTTACAATAATTTCATGAAGCAAAAGTCAGCTTAAGATGTTGTAATATTGCATAGGCACTGAGGTTATTTGACTACTTCCATCTGCAATTTTGATGTTCTTATTCCTGAATACATCGAGCGTTGCTCTCAAACCTCTAACATTTTACATATTGGCCTTGCTTTTGTTCTCAACTTTTAAGATACAATAACCTGTAGGCTGAAAGCTTGGCCCTTTTTATTAACAAAGGTTGTATTTTTTTAGGTCCTATCTATAAAAGGGAATATTTGATTAATTAACCTATTGGTTTGTAAGGCTAGAGTTGATGTGAATGACCATTGTTGTCAGATTTTCTAGCTTTCTTTGCATTATTGTTGCATGCATATATTGGATGTGTATTTGTTTGTTTAGAAACTAAACTTTTGTTTGCTATTAGAATGTGGGCTATATTGTAAAGGTTTTTTTGGCATATTTTATTTAACTTGTTCATGTTTAGATCACGTAACCCACTTGCAATGTCAATTGTGCAGGAAGGGATGGTTTGACGCACAACATGCTGGATAATATACATGCTCATTGGAAACGGCGGCGAGTGTGCAAGATAAAATGTAAAGGAGTATGCACCGTCGACATGGATAATGTACACCAACAATTAGAGGTCTGAACCCATAAATTGTCTCGTGGCTGTCTTCATACATTATTTGCATACCTTCTTTCACTTCTAGTAATTTATGTGTATTTACCCTTAGAAATGAATGACTTGTTTTTTTATTTCGTTCTTGACTTAGGCTTCGTTTGGGACGGCTTTTTTGCTGCTTTTTAAAGCAGCTTTTTAGTTAAAAAAAATTCACCTTTTGTATTAAAAAGCTGCTTTAAGAAGTATGAGGAAAGCCGTCCCAAACGAAACCTTAGATCTGCAACTTTTATTTTATGATCTTCTTTACGCATTCTTGTTGGCATGTGAAATGTCTTCCTAGACTAGTATGACGGTCTGCTATTGTGTTCCCCTTATTATTGAACGTTATTTTCAGCGTTAGTGGTCCCAAATTTTGGTTATAATTTTTTTAAGAATCAAGAATGATTAGATTCATTGGCGTGGTTTCCCTATAGCTTTTAAAGCATTCTACAGTTTAGGTGGATTAAATAGGCTTTTCGAATAGTTCCCTAATCTATTTACACAGATAGAAATTGGTTACCATCATGGAAGCTTTTAAGCTTGTTAATCAAATGCAGTGCACCCAGGATAAAATAAAGTACAAAATTGTTCTTGATTGAAGGCAATAAATGAGCATAACAATCGTGGCATATGGTTTTTATTTCATTCAATCTAATGATTTTAAGTAAAACAACTGTGAGATCATGATTTCTCTTGAGGACCGCTGTTCTTTGTTTTATACTTTGGACAGACTGGGCATCAAGAAAAGGATGATTTCGTGGTTGAGAGCCTATATAACTTGAAACACTAATTTATCAGAGATTTTGTATCACTAGGAACTGTTGTGTTTACTTTATTATCATCAACAAATATTCCTTCACTTGATAATAAACTTCTAAAAATATCAATAATGAAATTTCCAAAACTGCACTCTTTTAGATGAAATGGTTGCATTGATATAATTCTGTTCTTAACTGGGCATATTTCGTTAAAGTAGATGGAAATGCGAATAAAGCTTGGAAAAGCAAGGAGAGTGACGAGAGTCCTTTGTTTGGAGAATAATATTGCATGGGCCGTATATGCAAGTTAAGGAAAAGAAGATTGAACGGTGAAAGAGAAGAAAATTTGATAAAGAGGGTAGGACATGTTGAACAAATTGTGGGAGAAAAATTATATAGATAATTTTCCTCTTATAAAGAAATTTCGAAATTGGTAAAAGAGAAGGGTAAAGATAGAAGATGTTTAGTAGAGGAATATGAATTTTATTCTGGCAGAAATAAGAACTAGGAGAGAGTAGATAAGTCATATGTGGATTCTTGCCTTAAAGTACTTGTGCGTGTTTTTTGAAATATTCTTCAAAACAATTTGCAGTTTCATCATCTTAATGCGCATCCATATTTTCCAAAATAAAGCGTGCAAGATTAGCAAGGCTTGCTGCATCAGATATAGTTCTAAGCTTCTATATTGATTACTACATTAGAGCGCTTCAAAAACATGTTGAGCATTTTAATGTGATAAGAAATGTATGAACATCAGACAGACGCTCACCAATGTGGAAATATTTTTCCATTTTTTTTTTTATGGTTCTTCCTGAACCGACCAAACCGGCCCAACCTGGGCTGGTTCACGTTTATAGGAGGCAGGCTAAGCCGCCTCCTTAGAAAGCCACTCAAGCATGTGGGCTCCCCTAGGGCGGCAAATAGAGAGAGGGAAGGGGGTGGCTAAAGCATAGGGAAGCTATTTTGAATTTGGTTTATTTTAGAAAGCTTTTTATTGACTTTTATTAGGAAGATATGTATTAAAAGAGGATGAGAGGCTAGGGTTAGGACATGCATGATTATTGTTTTCTCTTGGAGTTATCTTTGTGGTTTTGAGCTCTAGATTCATCGTCTAGAGATTGGGAGAGAACGATCCTCCTCTCTAATTGAGGATCAATTGTATCTTTGCTTGTTCTTGCTTTTAGTTTGATTCCTATAATACAATCTACTGTTTATGGATTGTTTTCATTGGAGATCTTGAAATTTGCTTGCTGTTTTCACCAATTATTGTTAGGTTTACTTGCGAATTCAAGTATTTCCCATTAGGGTTACTTGCAAACTCAAGTATTTCCTATCATTTTTCTGCACGATTTCATGTGAGGGATCCTGATTTACGAAATCTTTGTGTAAACCTTTTGATTTATTTATAGTTCCTTACGTGTTCCTCCTTTGTTTCTCACATATCCTGAACATTTGAGCTGCTCTATTTTATTCTATCTTTTTTATGCTATTAAAGCTGTTTACTTATTTTGTTATGCATTTTATGTACTTCATCACTTTCTCAAAATAATTATAATATTATATCAATTCATAGTTGAGGCCTGCATCTAATTTCTTTGCATGAGTATATCTTAGCCAGATTCGGTTGTCTTGAAGGATTAACTTCTTTTAAACATTTAAGCAACCAGGTAGCATGTAATTGGTCTGTTCCTGATGGCACTGAATATTAAAATTTGATAAATTTTAGTAATTTTTTATATCCATTGAAAAAGAAAATAGATGTAAAATGTTTCATATTTTGTGTAGGAAAAAACTGGAGGGAAGATTATATATGGTAGAGGGGGAGTTGTCTACTTGTATCGTGGTCGTAACTACAACTACAGGACCCGACCTAAATACCCATTAATGCTTTGGAAGCCCATGACTCCAGTGTACCCTAGATTGGTTCAGCGTGTTCCCGAGGGATTAACATTGGAAGAGGCAACGGAGATGCGCAAGAAAGGACGCCAATTGCCTCCAATATGCAAGCTTGGTGAGCTCTTTTATTGTCTTTTCCACCTGTTTTTGTTCTTTCTGTTTTTTTTACAAGGAAGTAAATCATTAAATAAATATTAGTATTTTTTTGGTTACTCTTACCGTTGCTAGGTTGCATTTTGGCATCTACATCAACTGCTTAATCCAATTATCGTAGTAAATTCCTACTCTCTGCAATGACAAATTGGTTGTATTTTGATAATAAAGATACTAAGATACATTTCTTCAATGCATGATAACCTGAATCCTTTGCATGTTTCAAACAGGAAAGAATGGCTTATATTCTATTCTTGTTAAAGATGTCAAAGAGGCTTTTGAGGAATGTGAGCTGGTCCGGATCAACTGCAAGGATATGAACAAAAGTGACTGCAGGAAGATAGGTGCCAAGCTCAGGGTATTGAATCACTACCACCATTTTTCCTATCTGACTCAGTTCTTTCGCTGATACAGTTCTTGAACTTGGTTTTGCAGGACCTAGTTCCATGTGTCTTAGTATCATTTGAGTATGAGCATATACTGATGTGGAGAGGGAAAGAGTGGAAATCATCTCTTCCAATCACTGATGCTGCATTTGATGCTTCTGATTCATCAGTAAATGATGCGGAAATGCAGAAGATACATGCTTTAGAGGAAGGTGATAATATGAACCTGGTTAAAGATTTTGACAAGGAGGATACTAGAGATACTACCAAGATGGACATTGTTGAAGCTTCTGCTGAGACTTTAGAGTCTTCTACAGCAGCTAACCAGGAATCATCTTCTTCAAGTTTTGATGGGAACTTAAGTGAGGATTCTCAAGTTGTTAGATCAGGTCCTGATGAAGACGAGAATCTTCTTTTAACTCAAAGCAATGGTAATGCATCATTGCCATCATATACGAATTTGTCATGGATTGGCATTAATGGATCTGATATTAGAGAAGACAATTTTGAGAGTCTCTGTGAGGCTTCCAATGCCCCCTGGTTGGAAGGGGTCGAGCTTCTTGTCAAGCAAGCTGTGGAGGCTGGAACTGCTTTAGTATTGGAGGATGAGTCCTCAGATGCCGATATTGTGCTGTCAAAATCTGTTGCTCTTGCCATGAAAGCTCCATGTGGCCCAATCTTTAAGCATCTGTGTAAGAAAACTAAAAAAACTGTATCCCAGAAGGCCAAGGGAGAAAGGAGTGAGAACAAAGAGGAGGAATATATTGTTGAAACTTTAGCAGTTTCTCAGAGGAAAGGCGATGAGAAACAGAAATCTAGGAGTAGGAAAAAGGATGAGGTATTTCCGGATCTGGTTCCACATGGGAGCTTAGGAGTAGATGAACTAGCAAAGCTGTTGGCTTAAGTTGAGTCTGCAAAGTCATCCATAGATCGATTTAAACAAGTTTTTATCATTTTCATATGGAGGTTTTTGGGGAACAAAGTGGCATTTGAGCAGGAACCTTTACCTGCTCACAATTAACCTGATCCAATATCTGATAAGATAGAGATACAGGGTTATCTAAAGAGGAGAATTGTGCTAGGAACATTTAAGGAGCTGCAATTGAAAAGCCAACATGTTCATGAACATTTCTTATTATTTCACCTCATATTTTTAATATTTTTACAAGTATTTCATGGTAGAATGGATCGATCTGAAGTTTGCAATGTTGTGGAGGTAAAATAAATACTTAACAAGAGCTACGACATAAATGTGCCATCATTCCCAATCTTTTAACTGTCTCAGTTAAGTTACAACTTCAGATTGATTGTATTTTTCTTAAGATAAAAATGCTACAGAAAGCTAAACTGGAAGATAAGCTGGCTTAACATGAGAAGTTTGCTCCTGAAACTTCAGAAAATGGCGCTCTGCTCAAAGAAATGATCCTAATAGAGTGGCTTCATTATTTTACAGTACTGGTTAAGGTATGTCTCCCTTGTACTATATTTTAAATGCTAATTAGAATATTTTCATTGCTATTTTCAGTTTAATAATGATTAACTCCCCTTCCAAATCACCACACTAAAGCAATATTTCTTTTTATAACTATACTGGCAAGAATGATCCATTATGTGTTTGTTCATTTACATCACATCATAACACTAACAGTATGACGTTTGGTTCCAAAAATTTATGAATTTCCTCATGCAAATGCATTAGGTTTCGTTTGGGGTGGCTTTTTTCTTGCTTTCTAAAACAGTTTTCTATTACAAATTTTTTTTGAATTTGAAATTTTTGTACTAGAAAACTATTTTAAAAGCAGTACGAAAGCTGTCCCATACGAAACCTTAATGTGATGGATTCCGAGTAGAAGATTAACAAAAAGTCATGTAAATGAATATCTGATAAAATACCCACCAATGCTTAGGGTGGTTGGTGGACGAGCACGGTTGGAGACCCCCCATCCCGGGTTCGAATATCCTTTACTACGGCCTCGCCTTTTCAGTGGGGCAAAGCAAGTGTGGGCCCGATGTCGATGGGTGGTCACGTTAGGTTCCGCCGAGGGATTAGTTATGCCGCCAAGCGCTCTCTTTGAAGTGGCAGCGAGTAGATACATCCGTTCCAAATAAATAAATAAATAAATAAAATATCTCATATAATTGCCATTATTCAATCAATGCATTTTGGAGCAACCAACTGATAAATTAGCCTGATATAGTCATATTTTCTTTCATCTCTACTAAAAAAAAGAAAAGGAAAAAGGTGTATGCCAAGAAATATAATAGAATATTTGAGGCTTACTTCTTGATTAGGACATCTTTGGATTGTTGTTGTGGAGTCAGGCAAAGTTGCAGCCACTATAATTATAGTTTCTAAAGAAAGGATAGTGGGATTTTTAAGCCATAATAAATAATTACTCCAAACTTGTTCATAATTTAGCTTAACTTTGACTCTTTCGAGTAGGTTTCACACATCACTGTCTGGAAGGCTTTGTTTGACTTTCTAAAATAATTTTTTTAAGAAAAAATTTATAATAAAAAATTGTTCCAAACGAAACTTAAATTGACTTCTTTAATTAAGAGTTGAACCAAACACAAGTTTCATTTGGTTGCGTGAAGTTGGAAAACATATTTTAAAATTGATGAAATTTATTAAATTTATCATTTAATTAAATGTAATTAGACATCTTAACTCCAATTTCAAACTATTCAAATTTTCATTAAAAATAATAATTTTATTTTCACAGTCAAAATAAGTAAAAATTTAAATTATTATTTAAAATATATTTCTTACTTGCAAGCAACCAAATGTAAGGTTGTGAAAATCGGACCTAACGTCGAACATGAAATATGAGAGGCTTAAGGTTTAATGACTCGATCGGGATTAAACAAGAGGTTGAATTAGAATGACATAATAAATATTATAATTAAATGTGTTAAACTTAAATTAGTTTAATTAATACAATATTTTATATTAAATTATTTAAATAGATTATGGATTTAATTGGTTGATTCTTAAAAATTGGGATCAATTCAATGGTTGGCTGGTTGAATCAGTGGTTCAAATCCAATTTGATTATAGGTCAGTTTGTCATGAGGACTGAATCAGCCATATGACTGATTTACAGTTGAACCAGTGAATCGATCAATCGGTCCAATTTTCAAAACCATGACCAAATGGGTGGCAAGGGAATCCAAAAGCTCACCATAAATAAAAAATGTGTTGCATATTTCTATGTATATTCCTAAAGATCTCCCCAATTTACAACCTCTCCTGCATGGATTATAACATTGCTCTTTTAGCCTAATGGTAGTTCTTGAGGGTGTAAACAAGTCGAGTCGAGTCAAATTTTTGGTTAATTGAGTCAAGATTGTTTAATTTATATTGAGTTCGTAGATCAGCTCAAGTGAAAGATATAAGATTTGAGCTCGACTCAAATGCTTGAGCTTGATAAGAAAACTCGAGATTAACTAATTTTGGAGCTTGATTTCTTATTTTAAATATGAAAAAAAAAAAAAATTAGGCAGGTATAAATGCAGGTGTGTTAGTTAATATAAATCGAGCTGGCTCGACAAACAACGAGTTGAGTCAGGCCAAATTTAAGCTCGAACTCGTGACTTGATATGCTCACAATACGAACTTGTTAGCAAGTCAAGTTCGCATGGACTTGCTCACTTATATTCCTAGTTGTTCTTATAAGGTGGCGTCCATTCTTTCAAGGTATAAGCTTTTGTTAGTATATTCTTAAGTAGTTTCTTACACATAAATTGTTCTCTAAAAGAAAAGAAAGAAAAAAAACCTAAACAAATATGGTATGAACATCAGCTATAGTTTCATGCAGGAAACTAAGTTGGGCAGTATCTTCATTCTTAATTCACTAAAGCTGAAATCCTTATTTCATGCATTTCATAATTAACAGATTTCATTCACAAATAATAAAATATACTGTTCCAAATAAGAGAAGGTAGTATTTCACGTACAATATAAAATGCTAATTCAATATCAACGGTTGGAATTGGACCAATTGGTTATAATTGCAAATGTGGCGGTGGTTGCTGCTGCTTAGTCTCCTTTGATGCATCATCAACCACTATCTTCTTCCAGAACCAGTGCTGCTCCCAAAGCAGGTAGATTTCCTCAATGGGCACTTGCTTCGTCTCCGGTAAGAGGAAGTAAATGAACAAAGTCATGATCACAATCAAGCAAGCAAAGAGGATGAAGACCCCAAATCGGAGATGGCAAAGTGCGGCGAGGAAGCACTGAGCAACAAGTGCGGTACAGAAAAGGTTAACGCAGACGACGATGCTCTGACCCGCCGATCTTGTTTCCAAGGGGAAAATCTCCGTCGGCACTAGCCACCCGAGCGGCCCCCATGACCACCCAAAAGCTGCTACAAATGCGCAGATTGAGACCACGAGAAGAATGGATATGCCTTTGGATAGAACTGCACCATGGCCAAACTCTAAAGCCAGAGTTACACCTACAATCACCTGCAATCACATGTTTACGTGAATTTTTCAAACTTTTAAGGCTTCATTTGAAACGACTTTATTACTGCTTCTTAAAGCAGCTTTTTAGCACAAAATCTAAAGCAATAAGAAAGTCGTTCCAAACAAAGCCTAAGTGTGGAAAAGCTTAAGCATTACATACATTTGAGATGATCATTTGAATTCCGGCTTCCATGAAGAGAAAACGCCTGCCAAGCCTATCAACAAGAAGCATGGAAACAATAGCCCCAACGACCAGCATTGAGCCAGTGATAATTGAGGAATAGAGTGCAGCACCAGTGCCAAATCCCAGGCTCTGGAAGATCACTGGAGCATAAAACAATATAGAATTCTGGCCGGTGAGCTGCTGGAAGGCGGGAATGCCCAAGGCGCCAATGATGAGCTGGGGCCGGTTCTTGCGCTTGAGAATATTGCGGAATGGGTGCTTCACTGCCCGAGAGGCGGCACTGGCATCCTTGAGGTCCTCAAGCTCTGCGTCCACCTTCTTAGTGCCTCTCACCTTCTCGAGAATCCTCCTTGCTTCCTCGACTTTTCCTCGCTCGACTAGGCTGTTTGGGGTCTCAGGGAGGAAGAGGCCGCCGACGAACATGAGAGTGGCCGGCAAAGCTGCGAGACCGAGGGATAGCCGCCATCCCCATGGGTGTATTTTTTCAGTGAAATAGTTGATTAAGTCGGCGACAAGAATACCAAGGCAAGTTGTTAGTTGAAAGAGCTGATTCACTGCCCCTCGGATTTTTGGGGGTGATATCTCTGCTAGGTAGAGTGGAACAGCCTGTTACCATAAACATCATAGAAGTGTTAGAACTTCACAAGATTATGAGGCAGACGAAGCAGTTTAATTGGTTTGATGAAACTTTTAAACAATAACTTTTTAAAAGATATTTTAGTCCCATTTTGATGTAATATATATGTCTTTCAAATCCAGCTATCTGAAGGACAAAATAACAAAAAAAAAAGGATTCCTTCTCTAAATTACAGCATTTTATAGATGGAGGATGATGTGAACTATAAGAACTAGAATTGAAAAAGAGAGAAAATATTTCACCTGATTTCCAAAACCTATACCGATACCGAGAAAGATGCGACCAATTATGAGCATTAAAATGTTGACAGCTGCAGCATTGATAAGGCCTCCAAGGAAGAAGCTGACTGCACCAGTCAAGATACTGGTCCTCCTTCCATATTTCCTTGTCACAGGCGAGGCTGCGAAGGTGGATAGGAGGCCGGCAAAATAGAGAGAAGATGTGAAGAGGGTGAGTATTTGGTTGTCATATTTGCAGTAGTCAGTTTCATGGAGATGGGCATGCTTTCTCTCATAGGTTTTGGGGAAGAACTGTTTTAAGAAATCATCCATGGAAGTCACCCCACCTGAGTTTTCAAAATGAAAAATTGAAATTAAATAAGTTGTCCCCTTTTTTTAACTCCGATTTTCCCATCATCAAAAGGCAACGATGAGATTTGTGTAAATGGAGAACATAAAGATTGCATTGAATACGAAAATAAACATTTAGAATAAGAATATGCTGTACAAATAAATTCATATTGAAAATAAGGGCATTTAAAAAACAAATAAAGGAAAATTAGAAATTACATCTAAGAGATGTGACTCATAATAAAAAACTTTTTCTGATTGTCACAAAAAAAGTACCCTAAAGAAATATATATATTTTTTTTCATAATTCAGTGGACATTCCACCAAAGAGTTTAAGGTTGTGACACAGTGGTTAAGGCATGAGTTTCGCCCAATCATTTCCTGCATTAGATTTGCTACAGTTATTTTGTAAAAATGTGAATATTCGCTTAAGGCCCATTTGAGACAGTTTAATTTTGCCTTTTCTGTATCTAAACTGTAAAATTATTTTTGAGTTGTAAATTTGTATGTGACACTTTTGTAAAATGTTTTTTTACAAAATTTTATTTTTCTATTATTTTCAAAAGCTTTTTAGCATTGACTTATATGCTAAAAACCTCCATTCTCTCAACTAATATTTTTGAAATTACCTTTAACAAAAGGCATCAGTTAACTAAACCAGCCCTAAATGTCATATAAAAACCTCACAAAATATGAAGAACACGAAAATCTGACATTAGGATCTTATTTGTTTGGTGTATTGTTGTTTTGGTGGTGTTGTGTTGCTCCCGCCGGTGGTTCCGGCATGGTTTCTTCTAAGCTTAAAGACCCTGGTTTCTTAGGAGGGGTTTCTCATTCTCGGTCTTTTCTTCAAGCTTTGGCTGGTCCGAAATCTTCTTTTCCGGATCTGCATGTCTCTACTTTCCATGGAATCCCGTCTCTTTGTGTTTCTGATGAGGAAATCTCTGAGCTAGCAGCTCCTTTTCAATTCTCCCTTGTTGGTTTCTTCCCAGCCAAAAGACCTTCGTTGGAAGCCATTCGCAAGTTTTTCTTTAATTTGAAGTTACAGAATGAGGTTTCTATCACGATTTTAGATCAGTCGCATATTTTGATTAAGTTAGCGGATGACCTTGATTACTGTAGAGTGTTCTGCCACCGTTCGTATTTTGTCTTTAACTGTTTTATGAAATTGACGAAATGGTCGCCGACTTTGGACATTGGTGTTGAGTCACCGGTGATTCTCATATGGATCTCCTTTCCTCGTCTTCGTCCCCACTTTTTTTCGCCTCGGATTCTATCTGGCCTTGGTGGTTTGTTTGGGAAACCTCTTAAAATCGATGAAGCTACGGCTATTGGTTCCCGTCCGTCTATTGCTCGTGTGCTTGTTGAGTTAGACATTACGAAATCTTATCCTAAGCTTGTTTGGTTAGGGTCGGAAAAACAGGGGTATACGCAGGAAGTTGTTTTTGAAGATTTCTCTAACTTTTGTGCCGGTTGTAAATCTATAGGTCACTCGATTGGAAATTGCCGTCCTTCGGCTCCTTCTCAGATCTCTATCCCTCCTCCTAATGTTTCTTCTGGGAAAATCGGGGAGGAGGTTGCTGGGAAAGGTGATTTAATTCAGGGTAATTGTAATGATGCTCAAACTATGGGTATTGAGGGAAATGCTGTTTTGCTGAATGAAGTGATTGGTGAAGTTGTATCGGTTAAGGATGGAAGGGATGCTACCGTTAATACGTCTGAACTTTGCTCGGTTGTTTTATCGCCGAACGCTAGACCTTTTATTCCTCAGGTAGTTGATGCTAATAGTAATGGTATTTTGGCTCCGGTTGCTACAGGAAATTTGATTATTTCTGTAGGATGTGATGTTATGAATGAAACTGGTGGTGTGGGTTCTGGTTTGGATGTGGTTCCGTCTCCTACTGCTCTGGAGACGGTGGTTCCTTCTGTTGAGGTGAATGTTGGTTCGCCTGTACTGGGCATTGTGAATTCTGGAGAAATTAATGTTTTAGAAAATGAGGTGGGTGGAGATGAGGTTATTTTGTCTGTTGAAGTGGATATGGCTAGTGAGGATGTTATTCCTTCTGACTATAATCTAGTTGAGGTTCCTGTGAATGTCGTTGATTCTAATAAGTTGGCTATTTGTGTGGGTAATCCCAGGGCTATGGAGACTAGGAAACAGCAAGATTGGTTGATTGATTCGTCGGATAATGAAGCGCAATCTGATTGTGATGATTCTGATTCTGATTTTTCCCTTGTTCGCTCTGCCAATGTTGCTACTAGAGGAAAATTTTGGATGAGAGGTAGACGTAAAAGGTGATTTTGCGTGGCGTTTTGTTGTTATTTCACTGTTTGGCTTCGGTTTTCGTTTGGTTTTGCTGTTCGTTTGGATGCTATGAGAGGATTTGGGTAATGATGTGGTCGGCGCTCGCGTCCCGGTCGTTTTTTGCTGGTGGCAACCGTAATTGTGGTTTTCGGGAGGGGTTCATTCTACAACTACTGGATGGTCCGTGCTGGACGTCTCAGACGCTGGAAGCCTTGACTGATTTCTGAGCTCGCGTTTTGATTGTATCTTTCCTCTTATTTGGTCTTATCTTCTTTTTTGTTTGAGTCTATGATGTAATTTTTTGGCTTATTAATATTATTTTATTTTGTGTAAAAAAAAGGGGGGGGGGGGAAATTACCTAAAGCCCTTATAATAAAAGCTAAAAAATACCTAATTAATAGTGTAATAAAAAAAAAAAATGAGACTCGAGTTTTGTTTGGGACAACTTTTTTATTGTTTTCAAAAACTATTTTTAGTATAAAAATTCAATGAAAAAATAATGGCAAAAAACTATCGCAAATGAAGCCGTTGCTCTTAAAGCAACTTTCTAGTACAAAAGTTGAAAGTTTTGTACTAAAAAATTACTTTAAGAAGCAGTAAGAAAGCTGTCTCAAATGAAGCTTTAGGCTTCCATTGGGATGACTTTATTATTATTTTTAAAGCAGTTTTTTAATATAAAAATTTTAATATGAGAATTGCCGTCTCAATCGATCCCTTAAGCGATGTAAATAAGAAGAGCCGATTGGAGTCACCCCTAATTTACATTTGAACTTCATTAATTGATTGAGTTTGAATTCGAGCTTAATTTTGCGAGGTTTTAAGTGTAATTAGCTTAAGAAAGAGATATAGTTTTTAAATAATTTATATTTGAACTACTAAATTTTAATATATTTTAAATATAATTTATAATAGTATTTTTAAGCGAACTGGCTCGTGAACAAATCAGTCGAATTAAAGTTAGCTTATTAAGCTATCAAGATTAACTCATGAGTCATTTATTTAGCCAAGCTTGAGTCAACTCACAAATTAGCTTGACTGGCATTCCTAATGCAACTTGTATGAGTTAACTGAAGGGGGCCAAGTCAATCGGCGATGTTAAAGGTGATAAGACAAACAATAAAGGGCAAAGGGCGAAGAGAGCAAGAGGCACCGTGACCTGATTGTTAGAGTAGTTGTTATTTTTTATTTTTATTTTTTATATTTTGAATTTTATGTATGGAAATAATAAAATTTAGATGTTAAATATATAAATCTTAATATCTTAAATGTACATGTAATCCCTCATTAATATTATTGAAAAAGGATTATATATTTTGTTGAATCGTGAAAGTAATACGTATGGATCATCTTTATTCGAATTAAAATATAACTGACAAGCGAATTGATAGCCTTCAAAATTCTAAATCGAATCAGTCAAGCAATTACGTAGAAAATAGAAATGAATCAAACAGATCGCTCAGCTTGTTTTTTGAGAGCTGGAAATTAAAAAAAAAATTATATGCTTTAAATTAATTAAATTGTTTTAAAAAAAAAGTTCTTCCAATTTTAGGATTGCTTTTTTATATAATTAAACGATATAATCAGATGAACCGATCAAATTTATCTAGTTAACCAATATTGTAAATCTCAGACAAAATCAAAAGAACAGCAATGCCATGAATTGAAATCGAACTCAACTGATCGATTCTTTTTGTTTTCTTTCAATTTCAAGTATTTCATTAACTGAGATTTTAACAAATTAATTAGACCAAAAAAAAGTTGATAAAAACTTCTCTCCCAACTAACATTTTTAAAATTACCTTTAACAAAAGGCATCAGTTAACTAAACCAACCCTAAATGTCATATAAAAACCTCACAAAATATGAAGAACACGAAAATCTGACATTAGGATCTTATTGAATAAATTGTACGCACTTTCAGTTATAACAACATGAACAGAAATTAATAACACTCAAAACATTTAAATTTTACTATTTATAATATCGTACACTCTTATGATCTCATCAAACACAGGGACGAAGGAGGCATAGGTGGTGGCTGGAGACACAAATTGGGCTGAGGCGGCGGCAATGATGTCGATTCAGGAGGATTGGGTCATCCATAGGGGAGGGGAGGATGCGGCTGGTTTAATCCAGAGGGGTATTTTGGTTGAGGTCTCATGGAACTCATGGAGGCTGCCGTGGCGCGATAGTAGCGGTTGGTAGGGGCGGAACCAGTCATAATTTTCAGGGGGGGGCAAATTTATAGTAATTGTTCGCATATATGTCGGGGGTCCAAGGGGGCAGCGCCCCCTGGCAGGGTTCGACCCGCCCGGTCCGGTCACGGGTTCAAGGGGCAGCGCCCCTGCGGGAGTTTCTGGGGGCAGCGCTCGCGGAACAAATTTTGATTTACTAATTACTATTTCTCTTTGTATTTGGCTCATCATTCCCTAGCAATAACACATCTACACAATATATTTAATTATATTGGGGATAATTGCCTAAAGATCATAGTATTTTAACATTTTTAAGGGGTCAATTACCTAAAACCCTTATAATAAAGACAGAAAAATACCTAATTAATAGTGTAATGAATTTTTTTTTTTTTTTTTTTTTGGGGGGGGGGGGCAATTGGTGCCATAATGGGGTTTCGCCCCTGGCGATTGGGTAGGACTATGTGGTGAGGGTGGGAGAAGGAGGTGGATGGATTACTGAGGAATATGAGACTCAAGTTTTGTTTGGGAAAACTTTTTTATTGCTTTCAAAAACTGTTTTTAGTATAAAAATTCAATGAAAGTAATGAAAAAATAATGGCAAAAAAACTATCCCAAATGAAGTCGTTGCTTCTTAAAGCAACTTTCTAGTACAAAAGTTGAAAGTTTTGTACTAAAAAATTGCTTTAAGAAATAGTAAGAAAACCGTCTCAAATGAAGCTTTAGGCTTTCATTGGGATGACTTTGTTATTGTTTTTTAAAGCAGTTTTTAATATAAAAATTTTAATACGAGAATAGCCGTCTCAATCGAAGCCTTAAGGGATGTAAATAAGAAGAGCCAATTGGAGTCACCACTAATTTACATTTGAACTTCATTAATTGATCGAGTTTGAATTCGAGCTTAATTTTACGAGGTTTTCAGTGTAATTAGCTTAAGAAAGAGACATAGTTTTTAAATAATTTAAATAATTTTATATTTGAACTACTAAATTTTAATATATTTTAAGTGTAATTTATAATAATATTTTTAAGCAAACTGGCTCCTGAGCAAATCAGTCGAAATAAAGTTAGCTTATTAACTTATCAAGATCACTCATGAGTCATTTATCTAGCCAACTTTTGGTCAACCCACAAATTAGCTTGCTGGCATTCCTAATGCGACTTGTATGAGTTCACTGAAGGGGGCCAAGTCAATCGGCGATGTTAAAGGGGGCCAAGTCAATCGGCGATGTTAAAGGTGATAAGACAAAAAACAAAGGGCAAAGGGCGAAGAGATCAAGACGCACCGTGACCAAATTGTTAGAGTAGTTGTTATTTTTTATTTTTATTTTTTCTATTTTGAATTTTATGTATGGAAATAATAAAATTTAGATGTTAAATATATAAATCTTAATATCTTAAATGTACATGTAATCCCTCATTAATATTATTGAAAAAGGATTATATATTTTGTTGAATCGTGAAAGTAATACGTATGGATCATCTTTATTCGAATTAAAATATAACTGACAAGCGAATTGATAGCCTTCAAAATTCTAAATCGAATCAGTCAAGCAATTACGTAGAAAATAGAAATGAATCAAACAGATCGCTCAGCTTGTTTTTTGAGAGCTGGAAATTAAAAAAAAAATTATATGCTTTAAATTAATTAAATTGTTTTAAAAAAAAAGTTCTTCCAATTTTAGGATTGCTTTTTTATATAATTAAACGATAGAATCAGATGAACCGATCAAATTTATCTAGTTAACCAATATTGTAAATCTCAGACAAAATCAAAAGAACAGCAATGCCATGAATTGAAATCGAACTCAACTGATCGATTCTTTTTGTTTTCTTTCAATTTCAAGTATTTCATTAACTGAGATTTTAACAAATTAATTAGACCAAAAAAAAGTTGATAAAAACTTCATAACTTATAAATTTTCAAATTATAAACCAGATAGAATCGATCACCTAAATCAAGAAAATCAGCTCAATCCTAACCCTAATACCGAAATCTAATTCATAATTCAATATTTTCACTCTACAAAGAAAAATGCGAACCGGACAGTAAGATTCAATTCAATCTAATTTTTGATCAGTTCAGTTTAAATTCACGAGAAGATAAATTATTAAATTCCATCTCAACTTCAATTGATTTGAAATAGAAATGAGTATTACTCATTTAGCACTTGAAACTAAGAAAATAAAACATAAACAATAACCCTAACAAACGAAAGAGAAAGCCATTAAAATGGGGGAAAGAAAACTCACTGGAGACACCAAGATCATAGCCAAACAAAGATCCTCCAAGAGATCCCACGATGACCGCCAATATAAAGAAGACGGTGACTCCCCCTTCATAGAACTCCGCTCTTTTGCCATCTATACCCGGTCCCACTCCTCCTCCAGCCATTAATCCCTAACTCCAATCTCCTCTTTACTTTCCCTAAGCAGACGACTCGAATGAAGCAAAGAGCGTAAGAAGAACAAGTGAAGGGAGCAGAGATGTAGACGGAAGAAGAAGACAACGACGACGACTTATTTATAAGTGCAATTTTGCGGTGGTGACTTTTTAATCTCATCCCTTAAAATCCGCCGTAAAATAAATGTAAAAATAGAAATTTTATCCAAAATGTTATTATTTATCCTTTCCACTGCTTTAAAAATAGAAAGTTTGCTGCAAATCTTTATGGATAAAAAAAAATTGGATAAGGAGTAAGGACTCACAATTTTGATCAAAATTATCCTATAATTTTAAAATTTAAAAAAATAAATATATATATTTTGCATATCTACTTGTTTGATAAGATTAAGATTTCGTTTGAGATTATTTTTATTGCTTCTTAAAACAGAGTTTTAGTAAAAAATTAAAATTCTATTTTAAGAAACGATAAAAAAATCGTTCCAAACGAAATCTAAAGGGAACATGAAATCAGTATTTGGCATAGTTCCAATGACATATAAGATTAGAGAGATTCGTCTTAAATGGTTTGATCATATAATGTATTAGATTTGGTCTCTATTGAGAAAGGTACATATAACCCAAAAAAGATTTGATTAGAAGTATAAAAATGATATTTGTTATTAAATTTAAATGGGAATTTGACTCTTAAAAAAAAAGACTAGAAAAAAAAGATTCATAATTTCATATAATATCTTACCTAGGTTTCATTTGAGATGGCATTCTTACTTATTCTTGAAACTAATTTTTAATATTGATACATCATCACAAAATTAGCTTGATCAGGCACGAATCTCGAGGAAAAAGCTAGTTGGAAACTTCAAAAATTAATTTTGGGAGTACCCAATCTCCGATTTCAGCAAGCTTATAGTCAAACTGAGCGTCTCGGAAATACGAATCCAACGACACCAAATTCGACCCAATCCGAGTCCAAATGGGTCCAAATCATGGATCCGAAGCGCTGTTGGAAGGTTCAAACCACTATTTGAGTTACCAAACGGACTCCGATTTTGACGAGCTTATACTCGAATCGAAGGGCTCGACGAGACGAATCCAACGAGCCCAAGATCACAGAATTCTGACATCACTAAGGCCTTCAAATGTCCAATGAACGGTGTATGATCGTAGGATTCAATATCGGCCGTCCATTGGACCACTCCCTATTCGCCCCTGATCTCATGCCTATTTACGGACCATGCCACTCTAGAAAATCTATAAATAGAGCCCTCATTCTTCACAAGAAAGGATCCAAGCAAGAGAGAGAAGAAGAGAAGAGAAGGAAGGAGTTCCTCCTCGACAGCCGCCGGACCACCGCCGGACCACCGCAGAATCTCGCCGGACCACCGCCGGACCACCGCAGAATCTCGCCGGACCACC